AGAAGAAAAAGACGTTTTTAAAGATAAAAAAAAAGACAATACAGGAAAAATACGAGAAAATGTGGGTAACAAAGAAATAAAGACAGATAAATTTTAATGAATAAAAATATTGAAAAACGAAAAAGAGGTGGGTGGATTGGCCAAAAGCAATAACGTGATTTCTTACAAGAACGAAAAAGAAAATGCTGAAGTAAGACAGGATTAATGAAAATAAAAATGCATCAGGCCAAGAAACGAAAATGGATAAAACAGCCGACAGCAACAAAGGTTATACAACAAAAATGGAATAAAAGTCAAGAGGATGCCGAAAGAAAGACAGAAAATTGAAGAATCAATCAGAAAGCTACGTTTCTCTATATAATTAGTCTACTGTTTGCCTTCGTTGCTTTCTCAAGAGCCTTCCTTGACGAGTTCGGTATGCATCAGAAATTTACCATTCGCTGTCCGACCATATTCGCCTCTCGAAACAATTCTTTCTTTCGTTCTTTCCTTTCTTCACAAATACATATTTACAGATTCTTTACATATATCTCTGTTGTCCCTGGCAATTCTTGTAAGTATGTTTGTGATTTTAAATAAAGTAATTATATTTTACAGCCATCTCTATTCCAACCTAATAACCTATATTCAGTGGCTCCTCCCACTGGTTTGAAACTTCTCTCGCATATTATTAGAAGTGAGTTCGATCCTCGGTACTCACCCTGTGATTATGGCCTTGAACCAAATATGAATTAAGCTTACTAAATAATTTATTCTTCTATATAGCAAGACGAACATGGCTGTCTACGACTTCTTATTCTTTTGTAGCGGTATTGACGGCCTAAATCAAACCTTACATTTTTTTTTACTTAATGTTAAGGTGATTTATTGCGAAATCACTTCGCTAACAATCTGAAATATCAAATATATATATATATATATATATATATATATATATATATACTTTCATAAAATAAAATATTATCATTTTTTTTAATTTGCAACTTTTTCTATATATACATATTAAGAAAGTATACGTGGCTTCTCATTATGCTATATATATATATATATATATATATATATATATATATATATATATATATATATATATCCGCCGGTCACAATGACCATGAATTTAATGCCATCCATCTTTAAGCTAAAATGAAGCCTGAACAAGATGTTGCCCGTACAGCATGTTCCCCCTCTCTGCCATGATGGAACCAAAAGATATCGCTCCGTTGCAGGAACTGCTAGAACCAGATTGAAATCAGCGGCAAAATTTTACGAAATCTTACCTGTACAGTATATGCTAAGCCAGGGCTACGTACAGTTTTGAATTCAGAGTTACTTTCACCTAGAAATGTTGTCACCCAAGGCTATAGATGGCAGTCTCTTCTGGGAGGTGGGGAGAAGAAGGTGAGTCATACCTTTCTCAAGGGTATTAACCTGTAAAGGAATGTAAAAATATCCAACTGGACTTCGATGTCTGCTCACCTATGCCGCTATCCATTACTCAAACGTACCTCCTTCACCATATAGGAGGACTGATATTACATATAATGCTAGTGTTGCTGTTGAATTTTATAAGCGCACTTAGATGTGGCACAAGGCCGAAAGTTAAGCGTACCCAATGAGGATCGAACTCACTTCTCAGTCATAATAGTTCTAGGGAGACAACCTTGTTAACCATTGCACCACGTCGAGGTGTCCTGATTTTCTAAGCAAACCTTTAATGTCGCACAAGGCTCAAAGTATGGGGCACCCAGTGACGACTGAATTCACTATACAGTCGTAATTGATCTAACGGGACAAACTTGCTAACCATTTTACCAAGCTGAAGTGCCCACAATGATTTAGATGTGGCACAAGGCCGAAAGTATTGGGGCACCCAGTGAGGATCGAACTCACTATGCTGTTGTAATTTGGTAATTTTCTAAGCGACCTAGTTTTCTCGTCGAACATGTATCTTTAGATACATGACTGACGAAGCAGATTTTTCCCCGCAGTAGATTGCCATTTCTTTCTGCTGTAGAAATGATGAACATACTATATGACGAAAAATATTAACTACCATAAAAAATAACTTTTTGGTCTGAACACGACATCTAACATTTGAGTTTTGATTCTTTTTGTAAGCTACTAAATTGCTATCATTTGCTTTTGTTTCAAATAACTGCAACTGTTTTCTGTTGTTTGTGGTGCAGCCTGTCGTACATTGCGGACGGGACTTGGTAGTTTTCTGTGTGTATTTAAATAAATCCATGCAGAGCTATAGCCAGAGAGGCATGAAAGTGTCCTCTTGATAGACACGCAGGGGTATATACAATATAATTATCCATGAATTTTGTTTGATCAAGAACGCAGTTCCTTAATAGGCATATCCCTTAACGAATATATGTGTGTGTGTTTGTGTCTGTGTATCTTTCAATAGATGACTGACGAAGCAGATTTTCTTCCCGCAATATGTTGCCATTTCTTTCTGCTGTAGACCAGTTGCCATCCAAGGCTATAGAACCCCGTCTGTCCTGCTAGTTACCAATAGCTAGGGGGGAGAAGAAGAGGATTCATACCTATTCCAAGGGTATAGCACGTAAGCGAATTTCAGTCAGTTATGTGCCATGCGTGATACACGCTTAGGTGATCATGTATCGAAAGATACATGACTGACGAAGAAGATTTATTTCCGCAGTAGGTTTCCATTTCGTTCTGCGGTAGACCAGTTACCATCCAAGGCTGCAAATATATATGTGTGTGCCTGTGTGTGTGTGTGAGAGTGTGCTTGCGTGTGTGTGTGTGTGTGTGTGTGTGTGTGTGTGCAATAAATAGTTTCATATACAATATATAAGTCAGATACCGAGTGAGTTTTTAATCAGAATTGTGCATAAAAATCTGATTTTTTCTAACAGTGAGGAAAAAATATTATTTATTATTAATACAATTATATTTATTGTATTATATATATATATATATATATATATATATATATATATATATATATATATTGATGTATCAGTAGGAAGGAAGTTATGATGGTTCATAAATATGCGAAAATATGGGGAGAGATATAATATATAATTTATCAAATGTCATTAATAAAAAGATATAGGCTTATATAGGGATGATGGCTTAGTAATTGTAAGAAATTGTAATGGTAGAAAAACAGAAAATATAAGAAAAGAAATAATAGAAATATTTAACAATTTAAGATTTACTATAAACGTAATATTTAATCTAAAAATAGTAATTTTTTTAGACATAACATTTAACTTAAATAATAACGCATACAGACCATATAGGAAAGCAAATAACAATCCCATATATATAAACTAAAATTCAAATTACCCACTGAATGAATTTAAACATATAGCAATATAGTTTAATACAAAAATCTCAGTTAATTCTAGCAATATATAAATAAAAATATTTAATAAAAATAAAAGTATATGATTCAGCATTAAGAAAAAGTTGTTATTCGAATAAATTAAAATAAATAAGTAACAAAAATACATACAACAATAAAAGAAAAAGAAATATAATTCGCTTTAATCCACTTTATAATAACATAATAAAAACAAAAATAGGAAAATATTTTTTAAAATTAACTGAAAAACACTTCACTAAAAGTAGTAAACTGTTAAAAATTATTAATAAACATCAGTTATAGTTGTATGAATAATATGGATAAAATAATAAATAAACATAATAGAAAATATTAAAGAAAAATTATAGGCAAAAAATCACAAAAAGGCGCAAAATAGCAACAATAATTGTAATTGTCGAAAGAGAAACAAACTGCCCACTTAATAATAAATGTATAACTAATAATATGTAAAGCATCTGCATGAAATGACATTAAGACAGAAAAATTATATAGGAGCAACTGATAGAACTTTTAAAGAATGATTTAATAATCGTAAGAAGGAATTTAAAATAGATACACAAATAACGCAACATTATCAAAATATATACAGCGTCAAAATGAAAAAAACATATTTCAACTAAAATGAAATGTGAAATCATAAAATATATTCCCATAATGAAATATGTAGCATGTGTTTAGAAGAAAAAGATTTCAATAATCAATTTCAATAATCAAATTAAAGTATTAAAAAAGAGAAATGAATTAATGGGTAAATGCAAACATTTAATAATTATTTACTTTACAACCAAAATGCTAAAATAATATAAGATAATAAATACAACAGAAATTACTATAAATTAAGTAATAAATTAACATCATATAATAAATACAATATATATATATATATATATATATATATATATATATATATATATATATATATATATATATATATATAAACAATCGAAGATATACATACAAAAAAAAAAAATGAAATCTAAAAACTACAATTCATACAATTGAACAATATACAATTAAAAACCGTTTATGAAGCACATATCAAAACAGGAACATTCGGCCGTCCATAATTGATTTAACGTCTTGTAAAAGAAAAACTGAAAAAAAAAACGTATATTATTTATATTATTTACAATTGGAAATATTTAATATACGGATTAACCCCTTGAAATGTGTACACAGTATCACTACAGAGTCTGTTCTAATCACAGTTCTTCTTATAAAATTAATATATATAAATATATATATATATATATATATATATATATATATATATATATATATATATATATATATACAGTGTATCACAAAAATGAGTACACCCCTCACATTTCTTCAAATATTTAAGTATATCTCTTCATGGGACAAAACTGACAAATTGACACTTTGACACAATGAAAATTAGCATGTCTGCAACATATATAACAGAATTAATTCATTTTTCCCTCAAAATAACTCAAAATATAGCCATTAAAAGCTAAATCCCTGGCAACAAAAGTGAGTACACCCCTTAGAAAAAGTTGTCAATATTAACATACAACATGTCAACTGTCAATATTTTGTGTGGCCACCATCATTATCCAAAACCGCCTTTACTCTCCTGGGCATGGAGTTTACCAGAGCTTCACAGGTAGTCACTGGAATGCTCTTCCACTCCTCAATGACGACGTCGCGGAGCTGGCGGATATTTGAGACTCTGCGCACCTCCACCTTCTGCTTGAGGATGGCCCAAAGATGTTCTATTGGGTTCAAGTCTGAGACATGCTTGGCCAGTCCATCACCTTTACCCTCAGCCTCTTCAGTAAAGCAGTGGTTGTCTTGGATGTGTGTTTGGGGTCATTGTCATGTTGGAACACTGCTCTGCGACCCAGTTTCTGGAGGGAGGGGATCATGCTCTGCTGCAGTATTTCACAGTACATGTTGGAGTTCATGTTTCCCTCAATGAAATGTAACCCTCCAATACCTGCAGCACTCATGCAGCCCCAGACCATGACATTCCCACCACCATGCTTGACTGTAGGCATGACACACTTATCTTTGTATTCCTCACCTGGTCGCCGCCACACATGCTTAAGGCCATCAGAACCAAATAAATTAAATTTCGTCTCATCAGACCATAGGACATGGTTCCAGTAATCTATGGGCTTTGTTGGCATGTCTTCAGCAAACTGTTTGTGGGCTTTCTTGTGCATTGCCTTCAGAAGAGGCTTCCTCCTGGGGTGACAGCCATGCACACCAATTTGATGTAGTGTGCAGCGTATGGTCTGAACACTAACAGGCTGAATCCCAATATCTGCAGCAATGCTAACAGCACTCCTACGCCGATCTTTCAAAGAAAGCATTTGGATGTGATGCTCAGCACGTGTGCTCAGCTTCTTTGGACGACCTACCCGAGGCCTGTTCTGAGTAGAACCTGCTCTTTTAAAATGCTGGATGATCTTAGCCACTGTGCTGCAGCTCAGTTTCAGGGTGTTGGCAATCTTCTTGTAGCCTTGTCCATCTTTATGTAGTGCAACAATACATTTTTTAAGATCCTCAGAGATCCTCATATGGTGCCATGTTGGAACATTCAGTGACCGGTAAGAGAGAGTGTTAGAGCTGCACTACAAATTTGAATACACCTGCTCCCCATGACACATGGGCATAGTTACACTAATGAGTCACATGACATTTTGGAGGGAAAATGAAAAGCAGTACTCAATTTAGACATTTAGGGGTGTAGTTTCTTAGGGGTGGACTCACTTTTGCTGCCAGGGATTTAGCTTTTAATGGCTATATTTTGAGTTATTTTGAGAGGAAAAGAAATTAACCCTGTTATATATGCTGCAGACAGACTACTTTTCATTGTGTCAAAAGGTAATTTTTTCAGTGTTGTCCCATGAAGAGATATAGTTAAATATTTGAAGAAATGTGAGGGGTGTACTCACTTTTGTGATACACTGTATATATATATATATATATATATATATATATATATATATATATATATAGAGAGAGAGAGAGAGAGAGAGAGAGAGAAAGGTAGCTAGATAGTTAGCTATACAGATAGAATATTTCATTCCACTTTTTAACAGCCTGAATTTAACCAAACAATATAGCGACTTCTCTCTCTCTCTCTCTCTCTCTGACTATCTATCTATCTATCTATCTATCTATCTATCTATCTATCTATCTATCTATCATTTTCTCTGTCTACAGATAGGAAAAATAAGTTATCGACAAATTTTCATAGCTAGCTAGTTGAACTGACTGAGATAGGTAAAAATATCAAATCGTTCGGATTTCGATCCTGACTTGAAGCATTCTGTTGTCTAGTCGCACTGACGAGCCATGATACAGCGAAACAGGCCTGTATGCAAATAAATTACTTGTTGGAATCCGTTTCGCAATATTCTTTTCTGTTCACAAACATGCAAAATAGCAATAGATTATCCAAATCCACTCTTATTCCTTCCAGCTACTTCTGTTCCCTGTTTTCTTCGGGAAACCTTCAAAAAAAGTCTTACAAAGAAAACAACTCTTCCTTCATATCAATTTTATCCTTTCTTTCTCATCCAACGACATGCATGTCTTTTTTTTTTCAGCACAATTAAAACCGAATAGATTTAAAAGATATTATACAATCTATATTCTTACACTTCTCACCTATAAAACTCTCTTCCCGTTTCTCGCTTCTCTTCCACCTATATTTTAAATGCCACATCTTTTGGGGTCTTCTCTCTAGCCGTTCTTTTATTGTCCTTTCTCCTCACTAATATTTTCTTATTCTCTTTCACTTCCATTAACCCCTGCGTCTTGGGGAAATTATCGCCTTGTTTGGGATGAAATAATTAACAAAAAAGAAAAACATTTTCAGCCAATGAATAGTTTGGGAAGAAAATTAAATGGCCACTTATATAGAAGTCGACATTATAAGCAGGACACCGGAAGCCATAGCCAAACAAAGGTCATTTGACAGATACGCCATTTGTCCGTGCTTAGGGGCTTCTCTTACCGTAATGCCAACGAGAAACCTGACATCCAAAGAAACTGCTTTAAGTCAAAATTGATAACATTAAGAAAGAATTTTTTTCTCTATTCGACTTACTGTACCTTGCTTTAAATTACTTTCGCATCAACTCAATCTATATTAAAATAAATCTGAAAACTTGCAGATTTTTTTTTACTAACATTTACCATATACAAGTCCTAAGTGGCATGAAAAATAGAACATCACCGGATGATGTTGTTGCGTGAGAAATGAAATTAAGAGAATACGCATATTTTATAAGGATACGCGTGTAAGATAATCGTTGACCTTAGATTTTCCCAGCCTTCACTGTACACAATTGAAAATCAAAGTACTAAACTGAATTTACCTTCATCTTTCGAAACTGGATGGGAGAGCTCCGGATGTCATCCATGCTCCGACCAGAGCATCATTGGATACTACCTAGCAGCCTCCTTGTCAATAAAATCACCGACAAATCGAATGAACCTGCCTCGCCTTGAGCGTTCCCCCATTCACTTGCAGGAATTATACGAGACAGCCGAGAAGGGTCAAGGTAAGAAGATAACCAGCCGAGTCCATACAACTGGACTGTCCGTCAATGACAATGCTGTCTCTCTGATCTCTGGTACCATTTATTTCAGTAGCGGTCTGTAGGATATGCGTGAGGGGACTTCAACTTGACATGCTCTCTATCTCAGTTTGAGTTAATTCTTTCAGGGATGCTGTTCACATTTTCATTAAATTATTCCACGGGTTCATTGACAGATTTTGGAAATCTCATTTTAAAGAGAATTCCCATTCATTCCTTCATAGCGTCTGTACATTATTTATTGGAAATTTTTTCCTTGCTTCATTTTGCATTTATTTATTTATTTCTTCTCAATCTAAGAGCATTTTATTTATGCATTTTTATGATAATACTCTGGTATCTTTCTTTCTTTTATTCTTTCTTTCTTCGTACGTTTCTTCCTCTAAAAACAATTTCTCTTTTTCTTTCTTTTTCTTTCTTTCTTTCTTTTTTCTTTCTTTCTTTCTTTCTTTATTTATTTATTCTCAATCTAAATGTATTTTATTTGAGTAGTTTTATGATAATACTCTGGTATCTTTCTTTCTTTATTTATTCATTTGTACGTTTCCTCCTCTAAAAACAATTTCTCTTTTTTTTCTTTCTTTTTCTTTCTTTCTTTCTTTCTTTCTTTCTTCCTTTCTTTCCTTCTTTATTTGTACGTTTCCTCCTCTAAAAACAATTTCTCTTTTCTTTTTTTTTTTTTTTTTCTTTCTTTCTTTCTTTTTTCTTTCTTTCTTTCTTTCTTTCTTTCTTTCTTTGTATGTTTCCTCCTCTAAAAACAATTTGTCTTTTCTTTCTTTCTTTCTTTCTTTCTTTCTTTCTTTATTTATTTATTTATTCTCAATCTAAATGTATTTTATTTGAGTAGTTTTATGATTTTATCTTTCTTGTTTATTTATTTATTGATAATCCTCTAAAATCAATTTTCTCTTTTTTTTCTTTCTTTTCTTTTCTTTCTTTTCTTTCTTTTTTCTTTCTTTCTTTCTTTTCTTTCTTTCTTCCTTTCTTTCTTCTACTTTGTACGTTTCCTCCTCTAAAAACAATTTCTTTTCTTTCTTTCTTTCTTTTCCTTTCTTTCTTTATTTATTTATTCTCTCCTCTAAAAACAATTTTCTTTTTTCTTTTTTTTGATAATTTCTTTTTTCTTTATTTATTTTTCTTCTAAATTTATTTTATTTGTGTAATTTTATGATAAACCGACATTTCTTTCTTTCATTCTTTGTTTCTTTCCTACTTTGTATGTTTCCTCCTCTAAAAACAATTTCTATTCTCTTTCTTCCTTCCTTTCTTTATTTATTCTCAATCTAAAAGTATTTTATTTATGTATTTTTATGATAATACTCTTTTTTCTATCTTTTTTCTTTATTATTTTCTACTTTCTCTAAACCGACATTTCGGTTTCAGTCATTTCTTTCTTTTTTTTCCTTCTTTTTTTTACTTGCATGCTTTCTTTCCCCTTTTGAATTATTTAATTATTTCTAGGCTTTCATCTTTTCTTCTTCCGAACCAACTTTTCTATGTCTTTTCTATTTCTTCCCCTACTCATTCACCTTTGCTTAATTCATTTCTTCTTTTTTTTTCCTCTTTCTTTCTTCATTTCATTCTATTCCTTCTTATCTTTTCACTTTCCTCATCTATATCTATTTTCTATTTCGATTATTTTCCCTTTACTCAATTTTTTCCTTCTTTTTCAGTCTTTCTTCCTTTCAACCCCTTTCCATTATATCCCTTAGGCATATACAAAACACGCAAACTAGGGACTTTCTTTTTTATGTTCCGTGTCCTTTCAGAACGTAGGCGATCATGGCTCTCCAATTCCCCACTATCCCTTGCAGCTCTCAATGTCTCTTTGTCACTTCCCCCAGAGCACTTTTTGTCATCCTCTTGCTCAACCCCACCAGTTATGTCGTGCCTTGCTTTCCCTTGTCTCTCTTTCTCTCTATTCGACCTCTGAGTATCAGATTCTCCATGTCCTCCTTTCTCATTAACTAATCTAGGAACTTCAGTTCCCTCTTCCTTATGTTAAGTATAAGCATCCCCCTTGTTTAAATCCTCTCTGAAACATCATCGTTGGACACACGATCGGTCTATGATATCCTCAGCCTCCTTCTGTAAAACCACATCTCTTTCGCCGCGAGTCTCTTTTTCATCTTTGAAAAGACCTTCCAACATTCTCTGTGGTAAAGGAGGACAGATATCGTGTAACAGCTCAGTACTCTTTTATTTGTTACCAAAGAGATCCTCCAGTCTCGCAATAATCTACCAGCTTTTGGAATGCGTCCTTGGCCATCCCAATACGTCTAAGGATCTCAGTGTCAAACTTCCCGTCCTCTGTCAAAACACTTCACGGATATTTAAACTACTGCACCTGCTTGATGTTAGTATTCCTGACCTGCAAATCGCATTTCGGGTTGCTCCATTAATTGATCATGCAGACTGCTTGTAGTTTAAGCTTAGTCCTTTCTTCTCAGGTACAAAACTGAATTAGAAGAAAATAAACCTTACAAAGCCTGTATTGTGCCAAAATTGTACATGGAAATAAAAAATCATTGACTGTATATCAACAACATAAGCGGATTACTTCTCTCTAAAATCGTAGGAAAGTTGGTTTGCACAATACATTTTCTTATGGAGCAAATATGATTCCACAATGTGTATCTTGGTCAAGTTAAATTAAAAAACGACGCTTACAAGTATTTCGAAATCGCAAACGGCACCAATCAACCGTGAATTTGACCTTACATGCTGGTTTCAACAAACTTGGCAGACGTTTATTCTATTCTGATATTGTTCTAACTGCACAACGGCTGAAAAATAACCCGCAACTTTTAAGACTGTATAGTAATTATCGATGGTTAAATATGAGTGGTAGGAATACCTAACAAACAGAAATGACAAGGTTTGCAATAAACAATATCAAGAAATAGAAAATAGCAGGGGAAATAATATTAGGCAACCAGACAATATATGCAAGTCAAATCAACAGTGATAAGACAAACCAACAGTGATAAGGCAAAACAAGTGATAAGGCAAAGCAACAGTGATAAGACAAAGCAACTGTAATAAGGAAAAGCAACAGTGATAAGGCGAAGTAACAGTAATAAAGCGAAGCAACAGTAATAAAGCAAAGCAACTGTAATAAGGCAAAAAGACTGTGATAAGGCAAAATAACACTAATATAGCAAATCAACAGTAATAAGGCAAATCAACATTTATAAGGCAGAGCAACTGTAATATGACAAAGTAAATGTAATAAGGCAAAGCGACAGTGATAAGTCAAACAGCTGCAACAAGGCCACGCGACTGTAATAAAGCAAAGCTACAGTGATAAGGCAAAAGAACAGTGATGAGACGTATCAACAGTAATAAGGCAAAGCAATTGTAATAAGGCAAAGTAACAGTGATAAGGCAAAGAAACTGCAATAAGGCAAAGCAACTTCAATAAAGCAATGCGGCCACTGTTTTTTTTTTTTTTTTTTTAGGCCACTGTTTTTTTATGTCTCTACCGAAGGATTTACACGAGTACAAAATGCCGTAACGAGATTCACTCGTTTGGGTCGGAAAGTCACAGAGACAAAGTAGGAAAATTTCTGCCTAAACAATTTCGGCTGCACCCTACGTTATAGCAGTCTGCTTTCTCGCATCCTTGTTGACAAAGTTATCTGGATTCGTACGGGTTCTATTTCGATCTCTTGGTTCGGGTCGGTCTTCTTGACACAGCGCAACCAACAGACCAGGCCAGCAAATTCCAACAAGCCGCCTTTTCCGCGTTTTGATCTCCGAACTCCGAACTCATCTGACTAACTCAAGCGTGCGGGCAGCTTATAGAGAGAGGCGGAGCTAAACCATCTTTAAGCACCGCCCCCGAATTTTAACATGCAAATCGGCTGGACCACCATGTGTTTCCGCCTAATCTCCGGATCTCTGCTGGCAACCAGTTTTCAAGAGGTACTAAAATCGGATTCGGACCTCCTGCTGGATCTTCTGCAGACAACGTATACTTAAATTTTGCCAAAACCACTTATCCCGTCTGGTTGAATTCCGCCATTCAGACCACCCAAAAATCCAATTTGCTATTCATCACAAACTTTACTTTAACGAATCCGTCTCTTAATCACTGTGGAATTATTACATGTAATTAAGTAATAACTCAACCACAGAAACAATTATTAAGAGAAAAAAAAAATAAACTTATTTCTGGAATTACTCCGGAAGCCCTTCTACCCAAGTAATTAGCACCTTCATTTTAATTCTTTAGCATTGTTGATTACTAATTCCACCTGGGGATGGTCTCTCTCTCTCTCACACACACGAGTGAGCTTAACTCCTAATTGACTTTACCGATATCCATGAAAGAATTACCAGTTTATGATAGACTAACATTCAGAGTCTGCTCTGCGATGATGAAACATTACTTTGGTTTTGTTGGTATTGAATGTGACCAGCCAGTGTTTCGTCCATTGACCTGAAAAAGAAAGAGAAATCGGTTGGCGTGTTCTGATCATCGAGATTTTTGGAGGTGCAGCCAAATACACAGTTGTATAATCTACACTGATATTCCCAAAAGATCGAAATACGCTCTTAGGCAGGAAGATTACAAACCGAATGAATGTAAAAATATATATATTCTTCTTTACACACAAAAGAATGAAACAACTTACTCCAAAGGTTTTAACACTAGGATGGCCGAGGTGTCGTTTTCGACATGTTCAAATTTTCAACAAATTACTATGGAATAACTAGTTTTGGTTCGATGCTGAGGCTTATGGACAATTATTGAATTTTAGCAAAGGTGCTTAACAAACTTAATTCTTTAAAACATATTCACTGGAATAGCTGATATTTTAGGTTTTACCTTGAATGGACGAGGTGTCGTTTTTGACACCTAGGCTATTTATAGGGTAAATGCATTTAAAAATTTCTCACAAGCAATAATACTTGTGTTTATGTCCCCTATCTTTCTATTTATCTATCTATCTATACACACACACACATATATATATATATATATATATATATATATATATATATATATATATATATATATATATATAAAATCTCTTTCAGTATGAGGTATACTAATATTTGTGAATTTCTTTTTTCAGACTTGTTATTCCTGACTTGAATATTGAATATATTAGAGATGGCTGCTTCACGGCGTAATGGAAATAAAGATGTCATCAAAGGAGCTGGCCACCCTAGTGTTAAACTACTAAAGATAATAATTTACAGAGGGACTATTGCTGCCAAATATGGTCCTGTGACCCTTCTGTTTGTATCAAAGTTCTTGATAAGATCCAGAGACGGATATACAATGTAACTGGCAATGATCTGTCATCTCATCTGCAGTCACTCTCTCAAAGACCTGCCACCCCCTCCCTCTGTCTTTTTTATAAATACTTTCATGGTACCTGCTCCGATGAGCTGCTTTCGCTGGTTCCCATACTTCATGAATTTAAGCTTTCTACTGTTAAATATATATATATATGTGAGACATGAAGCTATTGGAGTAGAAGATACTCCAATAGCTTCATGTCTCACACCTCTCACCTGTGGAACTCCCTCCCCTTTTCCTGTTTCCCTGATAGCTATAATCTCCAACTATTCAAATGTAATGTCAATCGACGTCTCCAGATGCCTTGATCTATCCCCTATCCTTCTCTTCATCCTTTCCTCTATCACTCCTATTTGCTCTCGCTCCAACTCTTTGTAACCCTTTGCGTGGTAGTGGCTTCCCGCCTTGCTTGGGGTGAAACGCTTAAAAAAAAAAAAATGAAGAAAATTTCTGTTTGCTTTACTTCCCCCCACCCTGTTTACTCCGTCCAATTATTACAATATCCGAACACCATAACCCGAGGCCGAACTAAAACATAACAAATCGTCTTGGGTATGACGATAAACTACATCCGGCAGCATGGACTCTGATGGCGAGGTTTTAGCGAGCGTAGAACCACCGTTTAATTCCTGTTGTTCCCAGTTTCATATTGACCCGGAGAGGTAGCACCTGTTAGAGTACCAACTATGGACAAATAGTAAACCCCCCAAACAAAATCAAAACAACGTGAGAGTATAAAATACATTTTAATAGTAAAAATACTAGCAATTCATTTTTGCATATTAAAAAATATGTGAGAATGGATAAGCAGAGGCTTCCAAAAATGGTGG